GAAAACTGACTTACAGTCACCTTGAATCAAACCACAAAAGCCGTGGTACTCACATCTACAAAATATGACACCACCATCTACTCTTCTCAGGGGAAATAAGCATAAATAAAGTAATGCATGGGAACATACTTTTTAAATTGTCAAATACTTGTTATAATTATTCAGTTGGTGCTAATGGAATGTGAGTCCCCTGTAACTCCTCAGAGAAAGCACCGTATAAACTGAATGTGCTATTTTAGCAATCCTGATGGCTTTTCAATGTCTCTACAAATAACTTCTGCCAGGGGACAGTATTATTTTATTTGAAATGCTCTAGTTGTGACAGCATGAATTCCTATGCTCTTCTTATTAGAGGAACTTACGATTCTATAAACAACTTAAAAATACCAGGAGGTCATCTTCATTATATCCCTATGGAATGGGAGGAATCCATTAAAGCAACAACAGCTAACCTGCTGACCCACCCATCTGGGGACATGTTTCCAGTTTTAAAAAGGCAGGGAGAGCAAGGAGGCAGCACTCAGAATGCCACGCACACAAAAAAAGTTCTTGTAATTAAAAATCTGCTTATATTATAGGAAATGCCACTTAATGTAAATATTCTGTTACATTATACTAATATCACATTCATAAAAATGAGTTTATTCTAAAATCTCTGATTACTTCCCTTGGATATCCTCATTTGGGCCTCACTTTTAAAGTCACATGAAGTGGAAGTTATATTTAAGATTTCCCCAACTGAACACTCGAGAACAGAGTGTGTGCTTAATCATAATGAAAAAAATGCACCTGCCTCTCTCATCTGAACAGCCCAGACTCACCATCACCACGGACCCGAAAGGCCACCACAGGAGAAGCCCAACAGAAGGACAAGGCACCACCCGTGCCTGCTACAGAACCAGCCTCTGCACGCCTGTTACTCCCTGCGTCGTGGAGATGAGTGGCCTGGGCCCCAGAGGACCGAGAGCCAGAACGTGCCCGATGGCTATGATGATGCCAGGCTCGGAACCCAGGGCTACTGGCCTCTCAGTTGTTAATTTTCTATTATACCATCGAGCCTTCCCACAAACTCAGCCCTCCCTGAGGTCCCTCACCTTGTCCCGCCTACACATCTTGGACAGACCTCAGGGAGTCAAGTAAACAGGGGCCATAAAGGGACCTACGTTCCAGTCCTCCCTGACTTGCTCTACACTAAGGCAAACTCACATAGGCAGGCCACTGTGTCTAAGTTTCCTTACCGAAAAAAGGGGTGACAATAATATCTCTTCCACTTCTTTAAAAAAACAACACCCTGTAAATCGCCATGTAAATGTTCAAAATTATTTCTGCTGTTCTGATGATCAAAATGGATTACTTAACGAAGGTGCCCTATGAAATCCATATGGTTTTCCCCGTGTTATCTGGACTCATTGGAGCAGGCGTCAGCAAACTACTGAGCTCAAACCAAAGTTGTCCAGCTGACTGTTTTTGCAACACAGCCAGGCCCCTTCTCAAACATATTGTCTATGGCTGTTTTCATGACCAGGACAGAGTTGAGTAGTTGGGACACAAACTGCATGGCTTATAAGATCTAAAATATTTACTGTCTGGCCCTTTACAGAAAAATTTTGCCAGCCTCCATCTTTAGTAACCAAAGACAGTAACTGACAAGTTATCAGAGGACAAGGAAACTAGCTCACAAGTTACAACAAATTTTGGATTTTCCTCACACTGTACTATTTTCCACATACATACCTTATATGTCAAAAGGTTTACCATACTATAAACAAACATATATAGAGAAAAGCAATTAATTCGAAAAACCACTTTTCCTAAGTAATTAATGAACTTAAATTAAACCAGTAAAGTCCGCAAAGATGTATGCCCGAAAAGTGAATTTCTAAAATTTTCTGTTTTTCTGAAGAACCATAACCTATAAATTTTACAAAATTACCATTCTTTAAAAAAGTAAAACTTGTCCCTCACATTATCCAGTATTTGACTTAAAATGTAAAGAGATGAGAGAAATAGCTCAGGATGTCAATGAAATATTTCCCATGACTTCCAATGTGAAACTGTTCATTACTATGCCCCCCCCCCATTTTTATTTATTTTTTATTTTTATTAAACTACTCTGCCAGTCTTTTGTGGCAGAGTTGAGCTCTGGCTTGGAAATATTTTTATAAATAATTTTTCTGCATTTTATACTTTGAATGGGCTACGTGTATTCTGTTCCTACACATTTGCTTAAATGCCAGAGAGGAAAGTGTGTGGCGTGTTTTAACAAGCAGACTTCCTCTGTTTCTCAAAGTCTTTAAATATTTAGTTTCAAAATGAATACACTGTAAGCCAAAAAAATTACCACCCATCTGATGACTTTGTCATTCCTACTGTAAGGATTTGTGAGAAATGCAAGGAGGCGGGGAGCAGACGGTGCTGGCGATAGAGGAGGGAGAGCAATGAGAGTAAGGAAAACAAGGAAAGTAAAAGTGAAAAAACCCATTAAGCCCATAACAACCTGCTTGGGATTGTCTTTTCCCTTCCCCTCCTTGTCGATAGCCCTCTGGAAAAGCCGGAAAATAATATTCCTTATTCCTCTTAAAGAGTCCTAAGATTTTAGAGGCGCACTGTATTTTAGAGGTCACTACATAGGAGCCATTTATTTTATGGATGAGAAAATCGGAGGTTCGGAAACATGAGCTGTCACATCCTGCAGATTAGCTGGTAATTAGTGGCAGGGCAAGGACCAGAATCCGGTTTCCTGATCATCAGTTCAACACGCTTCCCATTAGACTCGGCTCTCTGCCCTGCCAAGCGTAATGTGCCATTTGGCACCTCGCAGCTGAATTCTTTTTAAAATATGCCTAAAGTACCCCAACGTAGCCAGGAAATTCACAATGCCCTTCTAAACAGCATCTACGGGGCATGTTTTTTCCAAGTACAGACGAACAACAATCCTAGGCAGACCTCATAGGGATTAGGATTCGCAATAAAGCAGAAGGATCGCAGAGCAACTAAGGACCTCGAGCTGCCTCGCTGTGTTTTGTCTTGATGGAAATCAGTTTGAAATAGACACCCCCCCTCCTCCTACCCCCCAGACGTACGCTCCCAAGACTAAACAGCAATATTCCATAAAAAGCCCAGATCTAGCCAGTGTTATTATCTGTCTGACATTTGGGTTATCCCCGTGAGTAACTCCTAAAGTAACGTGGGTGTCTGTGATTATTTGAGTACACAAGGCAAACCATAATTGGTCAAAAAAATAATAAAAGACATTTTTCCGTGACAAAAATACCGTATTGAATGACAGCCTGGCAGTGTGACAGCAGCCGGTGGACCGCAATACTTTCTCCACTTACAAAACAGTAAAAAAAGAAACAAAAATTCTTTAAAAAAGTAAAAAGCCTTTTCTTTTGCAGTCAGTAATGACTACGGTTCATATTTAAATTATTTATGAAATAGTAAAAGGTTTCCGGTGCTGACAGTAATCCACCAGCATCT